TCTCCTTTTAATTTACTGGAAGTTTTTTTTTTTTCAGTCCATGGCAGTGCAGTCTGTGAGTGACATCATTCCTTGAATTTCTCTCCATAGCATAATATGATAAGTTTAAAATTGGTCAGAAAAGACCAAAGAAATCTGGCGTTTCCACGGACGGTACATATAGCCACTTGGAAAGCACTGCATTCATGTTTACCTTATGGGTATTTCTTCACTATGAAACCTACTGAAAGAGTTGAGTTGAAAACTGATAGCACAGCACTTATGATGCTCCTATAATTGCTTTGTCCTCATCTTCAGCAGGCAGCACAGACTTCCAGTTCTGATAGGGCCAGTAGTGGTCTTAGTGTATCTGAGTCTTGTATTTCCTCGGAGGCACTCCATTAGAGAATATGTCATATTATTTAAGTACTTTACAGGCAGAGGTTAATAAACGTTATAGTTTATTTATAATATTTACAAAGTTACACACTTGCAGTTTTCTTGTTTTTATTCCCCAGATTTGCATTATGACAAATGCAGTAAGATGTCAACTCATTAGAAAATGAAGCAGCAGATGAAATGTGTTATGTATGGAATCAGTGTTATTTCATGCATAACAGAAGCTCTCTTCATCACCTGAATGCTTTGTCACATATGCATAGAGGTCAGAGAGAGGACTGAACTTATGTGATATTGCCTGATAGGGCTGTTTTTGGTCTGAAAATACACAAAAATTAGCCAGAAAATTAATGAAAACTGGCTAGGAATTTTTCTAAAACAAAAGCTTGTCAGCTTTGGAAAATAATAACAAGTATGCCTCATTAAAGTGGTTGGATGATATATATTATACGTACATTATAAATAATGTATGATGATAGATCCATGAAAAAAGTACACTGATAAAACTGGAAACAAAAGATACCAAACCTGATGAGAAGTAGGACTAGTCACCTTCACCTTACCACAGTCACAAACAACAAGTGAACATCACAGCTAGAAAACCTTCATCAGTGTATAACACAAACCGACAAGAATGAATTACAAGCAAGAACACACATCACTTAAATGTGCGCTGAAGTCACTCCTAGAAATATAACACGGCTGGACAGTAGAAACTCTTGAGTCAAGTGTGATACAGGAAGTTTGTAATAGACATAAAGAGGACTGACAGGTTATATTTGAAGCTTGTAGAATCCATACAATCTGCAGTATGTTAAAAATACCTGTGCCAGTTGAAAATCAGTTTGTTTGGCATCAAAATTATATTTTGGTTTGGAATACTCATTTAGTGAAATTGAGATAAATAAGATGATGAAGTGCACAAATACCACAAAATAATAATTAAATGATCACAAGCTTCATTATTCTGATAATGAAAAGGAAAGCCAAATAAAATGGATCTTTTAGATAATGTGAACATTCTTAAAGACTGTATTACGCATAATAAAAGTTTAGTTTTTCACATGGAGTATTGCGGATTCTAACCTCTATGTTATACATAGATGCTATATATTTCTCCCACTAGGTATGACAACTTGCAAGCTCTTATATTTTTATATAAATATAATATGGTAGCTTGTAACTTATTTTACCTAAAGATAATCTTTACTTATCACAGAGAGTATTGTAGCTTTTAACCTCCTGTAAGTATATATAAAGCTAATGTGCATACAGTTTAGCTCTAAAGTGGGAAGTGGTAGCTTGCAGATGAAAGTGGAGTTCTCTTGTGGAATATAGTAGCTGGTAACCTCTTATATGACAAAGGTATACAGTTTATTTCTCACACAAAGTATGGTAGCTTGTAACCACTTACGTATAGTGTAGGTTTAGTTCTCTGCTGTTATCCAAATGGCTGATTTTAAGCCAAAACCCATCACTTGAAGCAGTTTTTCTTGACATGGATTACACCATGGAGTCATTAAGTGTAGATGATGTTCGAATAGGTGATGAAAAGTTTCCAGTTCAGAGTTCTAGTTATGATGGAACTTCTTTGGAGCACAGAGAACGTTTAATTCAGGGGAACCAAGCTTACAAGAGCAACCATCATGAAGTAAATCTGTTGGAAGCTTCTCCGCCACTGCACATAACTATCAGTAGCCATACGCCCCGTGTCATTGGGGGCAAAGACTCGGATATTCAACGACAATACGGGGTTGAATGTACTATGATTGCAGAGAATGTGTATCAGACGAGAAGTGAGGTGGGTCCATCCTTTGATAGGCCATTTCTCTATAATGGTGACAATAAGATTAGAAGTAATGAGATTGATACTTACAGCCAGGAAGGTGCTAACAGACAGTCCTATATTTATGGTAGTGAAGATAGCTTATTACAGGGCAGTATGAGTACTACACGGGAAGATGGCTTGAGCAGGTATCCTTTGAATTCTGTTGATAATGCCAGATTGGTTGCTAACGCGGTTGATTTAGAACAAGAAAGTAAAGTGTCTACAAGGTGTGGTAGTTATGAACCAGTAGTTTCTGATTTTCTTCCGGAAACTCCACAGAATAAAGAGCAGTATTACTTAATTGTGTCTTCGGGGAGAGGCACACATTGCAACGAAGCTGTACAAGATACATCTGTTCAAAGTCAGCAATTGACATCAGAAGGCAGCTCTGTCTTTGCACAGATGATGCCTCAGACTGTACTCTTCCCGGGCATAGAGTTTCAGAGAGCTCAGCAGTTCAGTAAGGTGCAGGAGACAGGAAACACACTTTGTCTGGGGAACCCTAGCACACAAGAAGGGTTGTATTGTCATAGCACTGATGTGCTGGATATTTCCAAGAGACAGAATGGAGAAGTGGGTTTTGAAAGTGGTGCAAAGACCAGTGAAGAAATGAGTGAGCCATCCATATTGGTAGATGATGCTTACTCTGAGCAGATGGAAGATGCCAGTGCTGCAGAAGCTCTCATGACTTTGCAAGGTGATGCTGGGGCTGCCTTTGGGGTAGAGCCCAACAGAAGTCCAGAACTGTCAGCAAACCAAGCTTCTGATCCATATGCTACATTACAAGATATTTCCGACAGACATCAAAGAGTGACTAATGGCCAACATTACTTATCTAACTCAGACACTTTGCCACCGCTGGTTTTGCAGACTGTGAATTCTAAAGGTAAAAACAAAAAGCAGAGCAAACTGAACACACACAAATCCAAAAAAGAACATTCAAGTACTGATGTCGATAATTCTGCAAACAAGTTAGCGAAGATTTCCAGAAAGGATGAAAGGAAATTAAAACAGGATGATGTTGCTGTGTTAAAAAGTGTTGATAAGGTGAATAAGAAGGGCAGGCATAAAGTTAGCCGAACTAAAGATGCTAATAGTGATAGAATGAAAACTGATAAGGATTCTGTGTCTGGTAAAGATACTAGGCTAGGAAAGATACTTCTTTCCTTTAAAGAAGGAAAAGCTAATAAAAATACAGATGTGTCACAAGCGGTGCCAGCAATTACAGAAACGAGAAATCTGTTACTGGAAGATGACACAGCATCAGTTCAATCACCACCATCACCTCCTATAGACAAGAAACGAAAGTTTAAATGCAAACTCTGTAAAAGAACATGGAAGTTCAGGAAAGATCTGAACAAACACATGAAAACGCACGCAGCAACAAAGAAGTTCACATGCTCTGTCTGCAGCTGCGGTTTCATCAATAGAACTTTATTGAAAAAACATCTTCTAACACATTCTGAGATGAAATTCTTCACCTGCCCACAGTGCTCAGCCACATGTGATAGCTTGGCCGAATTAAAGACTCACCAGCAGACACACGCCAGAGCGGAAGTGTTTTCCTGTTCTGAATGTTCTTTCACCACCAAGCGCCAGACACACCTGGACAAGCATATGCTTGTGCATTCTGCCACAAAAGTTTATAATTGTCAGTTCTGTAAGTTTTCGTCTAAGAGAAAATACAGCTTACAACGTCACGTGAAGACAGCCCATTCCTCTGCTCAGATTCATGAATGTTCTGTGTGCGACTTCAACACAAATGCTGTTGACAGTTTTAAAGTACATGTAGCTATGCATGCATCTACGCGAACCACGTCGTGTCTCATTTGTAGAGCAGTCGTCAAAAAGAGGCCAAACTTAATTGAGCATTTGTTAAGCCATTCAAATGATGAAGATACCACGTGCAAAGAATGCGGAGAAACATGCACCACAAGTCATGAGTATTTACTTCATCTTTTGAACCATAAGGATTTATCCTCACCTGTCCCTGGAGAAGTAAGCAAGGACTCCGTGTTTGATCTCAGTTCTCCTTCACTTAATGGAAGTGTGGACTCGGCGCCTGGCATGTTTGGATTTTTGGCCAGGACAAACAAAGCCATAATGGACACCCCAGCCATGGAAGCCAAACTGGCACAGATGTCCACTGTTGCCTCAAGGTTAGCAGACATGACTAAGGTGGTCACTTTGCTGAACGAGAAGCCCAAAGTTGTCTTTCAGCTTGCAGAGATATCCACTTTGGCCACAGAGCTGGCCGTTATCTCTGGAAATGTGCTACAGTCCTATAAGAACACATATGGAGTTGCAGCTGATGCTGCTGCCAGTAAAGATAAAGCTACACCCTCATCGAATGAGGCTACCGATGATTCTTCAGATGAAGATGGTTATAAGATGCCTCTAGAATTGGGCATTCCTATAGCCAAAATTAAGGAGGAATTGCAGGAACATGCATTCCTTCCATCAGAAGCAGACATGCAGATCCAGGTGGACTTCAATGGCACACCTGTTTCCTGTGTCCAGAAAGATGACCCATTGAAACTTGAAACTGCAGGAACATCGACGGGAAAAGTTCTGAAATGTTCCCGCTGTAGCATGACATTTACTGATAGCCGTAGCTTGAAGCGCCATCTTCTGGCACATGATAATGTGAGGCCTTATTACTGCAGCAGTTGTGGCAGGTCTTTTAGGAGAAATGAACATTTGAAGAAACATATGGTCACCCACTCGGATGATAGACCGTTCACCTGCAGGAACTGTCCCTATGCAGCAAAGACAGAACATCGACTGAAAATTCATGCGTTGTGTCATTCACAGTCTAAAGCCTATTCTTGCCAACATTGTACTTACACTGCCAAGGACAAACTATGAGTTAAACCACCATATGAAGAGACACGAGCCGCGTTCTTGTTCTCAGTGCAGCTTTGTTTGCTATTCCAGGGCTGAGCTCAAGAAGCATGTCTTTACACATTCTTCCTTTGGCTGCACAGAGTGTGACTTCACCACCAGTGATAGAGCCGAGTACACGAGACACATGAAGAGGCATACACCGATCCAACATCTGTGCTGTGAATTGTGCGGCTATTCCTGCGACACCATGAAAAAATTTAAGTACCACAAACTGAGACACGACAACAAGACGCCGTATCAGTGCCAAGACTGTGATTATCGGTGCAGTTCCCGGGCCAGTTTCGACTGCCACCGATTAAAACATGCTGGTCTCAAACCGTACCTGTGTTCTTTCTGTGGTGCTTCTTTCAGAAAAACATCTCATCTGAACCAGCATTTGCTTATTCACAAAGATGAGAAGGCGTTCAAATGTAGCGAGTGTAACTATTCCTGCCGCACCAAGCATAACCTCAAGGAGCATGAGATGACCCACTCCGGAGAGAAGCCGTTTTCTTGCAGATATTGCAGCTTCTCCTGCCGAAGAAACAAGGCCTTACAGCTTCATATGCTGAAGCATGACAGCAGCGGCATGATGGTTCCATCCTTGCAGATGTCAACCATGGGGTTTCCGCATCTACAAATACCACTGCAGATGCCTATCATGCCTTCATAATACTGCAAACTCATCAGATAATGCTCAAACCTTCACACCACTTCAAACTCATCAGATGATGCTCAAACCTTCAAACCACTGCAAATACATCAGATGATGCTCAAATCTTCACACCACTGCGAACATATGAGATGATGCTCATACTGTTATTGGTCTGTGAGCATTTTTCAGCTACCCCCAATACTTTCAAGGACCATCTAAAGAATGCCCCCCCCCTCCCCACCCCCCCCCCCCCCCTAAACCGTTTCAACCACTTGAAATGGGATTTCATTGTTGCATAAGCAGCCTCTAATGTCTTAGATTTAAATAATTTATTTACAAATCTTGGGAATACCTTGGAACTGGCAACTCTTTCCGGGATAATTAAAGTAAACAAGATGCCTGTGATAACTTCAAAGATCATAAGAATGTTGGAACTGTTCAAGATTCATTTAGCCTTTCATCAGCATCTTCAGTTTCTGTGGCTCCGTCAGGATCCAAGAGACAATTTCAGACATCCATTCTTTCCTTTTGATAATTCTTGGCTGCCGATTTTCTCTTAGAGTTCAGTAGAACATCCCACTTGTCAGTAATTCCTTCAAGAGTACATGTTAGATTTTCTCGATTCTTTCAGGAGCCAACAGAACATCCCAGACGTCCATTTATCCTTTGGAATTCAAGAGGAAATATAACAATATTCAGATCTCTTTGAATCCAAGATAACATCTCACATATCCATTATTCCTTTGGAATTCAGTGGAACATACCAGATGTCAGTGAGTCCTTGAGAATGAAAGAGGACATTGCAGATGTCAGTGAGTCCTTGAGAATCCAAGAGGACATCGCAGATGTTAGTTATTCCTTGAGATTCCAAGAGGACATCCGAGATGTCAGTGATTCCTTTTGAGTTTAGCGGAACAAATCAGATGTAAAGTTCTTTCGGGACTCCTGAGTTCATTTAAGATGTCCTTGATTCCTTCTTGATTCGAAAGAGCATTTCAAATGTCCCTGATTCCTCATTGATCCAAAAGAGTGTTTGAAATGTCCCTGATTCCTTATTGATCCAAAAGAGTGTTTTAAATGTCCTTGATTCCTTATTGATCCAAAAGAGTGTTTGAAATGTTCTTAATTCCATCTTGATCCCAAAAAATCTGTTGAAGTTAAATTTCTCCAGGGTTTTACAGAACATCCCAGGCTCCCTGTGGCAATGTGTGGTGTCTCTGGTTCTTTGGAAACTAAACCTTGGGAATGCTACATATTTTTTGTTTGTTGTATGGTCAAACATTCACTCTTTCAAATAACATAGTTTGTACAGAGCAAGCATGTTTGCTAACCTGGGACCAGACACATAAACCACAGTCTGTCTATGCACCTTTAGGAAATAATATGTTTATTGTATATTAGTTTTTGTTTGAATACTTGCTATCTTTTAGTGTGCATATTTTTATTACTTTGCACAATTGCTGGTGTGATTGGGAAAAAAAAAAAAGACTAGGAGGAGTTAGGGACAGGAGGCTGAGAGAAAAGAGAGAGAGAGAGAGTCAGCAACAAACTGGTTGGTTAGTGCAGAAGAAAAGTTAAAGGATAACACCACTGCACCGTTTTATCCCATGCAGTTTGGTCCGTTTCTTCAGAATGGCTCGCCAACTGGTAAGAGTTTCGTGCGGAGCACAAATACTGGATATCATCCCATAGAATTGGCTTCCATCATTAGTCAATCTTTGGTTAGCTAGTTATATATTTATGCACACATATATACACATACATATGGACACACTCACATCTATATAAAGATAAAATATATATATGCTCACACACACACACACACATATATATATATATATGTAGACGCACATATACGTAGTTAAAAAGCAGAAATAAATACCCAAACATTTCTATATTATGATACACTTGTCACAGCGATAGAATACAGTATTTACTTACTTAGTCGCTCCTCTTCTACCTTGGGGTGTAGAGGTTTGCCAGAGAGATCGCCAGACGTCTCTATCAGCAGTTTTCTTTCTGGCTTTGTTCCATTCCAGTCCTCTGTCAGTTAGGGACTGTCGGATGTTGTCTTCCCAGCTCACCCTGGGTTGTCCTGGAGGTCTGGTTCCCTGGTTCTTAGCCTCCCATGCTTGCCATGGTGGCCGATTTTCTCCCATTCTGCATACATGTCCAAACCATCGTAACTGTGACTGATCCTCTCGGGTTTGTAAGGACTGGGTATCAAGATCTTGACGTATTGTCTGATTGCAGACTTTGTCCCTTCTTGCGATAGAATACATTTCAGATTTGCATTATTCAGATATAAGCTCAACAAACTAGAAAAAAAGAAATATAAATTCTACAGACACAAACATGAGATTATTGAGTCAGTTAAGTTAGTTGTGTTTCCTTGACATGACATTGCTGAACCAACCCCAGCATTTGTGTGTGTGCGTGGCTGTTGTGGTATTTCCAGCCAAATTTACGTCCAGTATTTGCCATTGATTTCTGGACACTCGGCTCTTGATACCACAGTCCAAACTGACATATGGTGGTCTGCTGCCAAATTGTCTCCAGCTGGGAGAGAACCGTCACCCCAGCATTTGGCTGTGCGTTCGCAACACTTAAACCACAGACGTGATGTGAGAGAAAATGTTTTTAAAACAAAAGAGTACAGAGAGATTGATTGTGTGAAGGGCTGCCATCTGTATCTACAATAGGACTTCCTCAACTGTTAAGTTCAGAACCGACATCCTAGCACTGGGACATTGCCATAAGTGCTTCATCCCCATCTTCAGCAACCAGTGCAGAGTTCCCCTGGTACCAGTAGCGTTCTGATTGTGTGTCTGTCTCACCCCTCCCCCAAGTGTTGAGAATAGGCCAGATCCCCTTGTCACTTGTGGCTGCACCATTCTCCTCTGACTGTGATGAAGACTGTTACCTTTTTTTTTTCAAAATAAACCACATCTGGGCTTGGACGAGAGAACAAGACAGACCAGAGTTTTATCTAATATGCCGTTGCTTATTTATAATGTTTGCAGTTTGAAATGTTATTTGCAAATGTTAATATTGTCTACTGTATTATTGTCCCAAAAGATTTTTGACTGCCATGATGTAATTTTTGTGGGAGTATGTTTAACCAGAGACTGGTTATACGTTCTAGATGTCATGTTTAACCAGACTGGTGATACTGTTATAGATGTCAAATTTAACCAGAGACTGGTGATAGTGTTAATTCCAGATGTCATGTTTAACCAGATTGTTGATACAGTTAGTTCTAGATGTCATGTTTAACCAGACTGGTGATACTTTTAGTTCATATTTGATTAGAAACTAGTGATGCTATTCTAGATGTCATGTTTAACCACATGTTGTTGATGTTATTAGTTTCAGAAATCATGTTTAACTAAAATGGTAACCATGTTAGCTCTAGATGTCATGTTGCTGATTGTTTAGCCAACAACTGGTAATGCTATTAGTTCCAGATGTCATGTTTAACAGAGACTGTTAGTTCCAGAGGTCATGTTTAACAGAGACTGGTTATACTGTTAGTTCCAGAGGTCATGTTTAACAGAGACTAGTTATACTGTTAGTTCCAGAGGTCAAGTTTAACAGATACTGGTTATACTGTTAGTTCCAGAGGTCATGTTTAACAGAGACTGGTTATACTGTTAGTTCCAGAGGTCATGTTTAACAGAGACTGGTTATACTGTTAGTTCCAGAGGTCATGTTTAACAGAGACTGGTTATACTGTTAGTTCCAGAGGTCATGTTTAACAGAGACTGGTTATACTGTTAGTTCCAGATGTCATGTTTAACAGAGACTGGTTATACTGTTAGTTCCAGATGTCATGTTTAACAGAGACTGGTTATACTGTTAGTTCCAGATGTCATGTTTAACAGAGACTGGTTATACTGTTAGTTCCAGATGTCATGTTTAACAGAGACTGGTTATACTGTTAGTTCCAGATGTCATGTTTAACAGAGATGTGTTATACTGTTAGTTCCAGATGTCATGTTTAACAGAGACTGGTTGTACTATTAGTTCCAGAGGTCATGTTTAACAGAGACTGGTTATACTGTTAGTTCCAGATGTCATGTTTAACAGAGACTGGTTATACTGTTAGTTCCAGAGGTCATGTTTAACAGAGACTGGTTATACTGTTAGTTCCAGAGGTCATGTTTAACAGAGACTGGTTATACTGTTAGTTCCAGAGGTCATGTTGGTTGTTGAAATCTCCTAGCTATACTGTCTTCATTATGTTATTTTATGTACCAGGCTGAGCAGTGTTGGTGGGTGAGGGGGGGGGGGGGGGGGGGGGGGGTGATATTGAGCACTTATGGGAGTGTCCAGAGTTCCCTGAGGACCCTTTCCCACACATTCAGGCGTATTGAGCGTATCTTCCTCTTCTTTTCATTCACCCAAGTTCTGGGATTTGTACCAGTGTGATTCTCCTCCTTGAGATATTAATCCAGCAGACTGTAATCCTTGGAGATGCTAACCCAGCAGACTGTAATCCTTGAAGGGGACATTTTTTTAAAAGAAAAGGAAAAAAAGGCAAACCCGGGTTAAAGTAAAGAAAATTAAGTTGTTGGATTATATCTAGTAGCATTTCTCTTTGTTGTTCATATCTTTGTTATTCTAATCTAGTTTTTTTCTTTAACTTTACCAGTTGTTACAATGCATTCCACTGTCTCTTCTCATGACTTAGCCAAAGAACATTGACTTTCCCTCCTGACGGTTTGAAGAAATTTCCATTTGTGCCTTGACTAGTTTTAAGACATCTTCTTTATTCTTGTGTGTCTTTGTGGCTCGCACTGTTGTGTCCTTCATTTCTGCTTGTAGAGAAGATTTATTCTTATTGTTGATGCATTGCATAATAATCTGTGTATGTGAGAGAGATTGTAGCAAAGTTAGATGCTTGCCTGTTGGTACAAAGATTTTGGGTTCAAATCTGCACTAGGTGGATTTAAAAAAGAAATATTTTTGGCTTTGGCCCCCCAACTTGGCCTGGCCTAAAAGTGGGTGGCAGGAAC